TGAAGTTAAATTCGCTCCGTTATAGGGTGGAATTTAGGAAGGCATACTGCACACTTGTACCGGTACCGCAACACTCATACTCATACTCATACCGCACACGCATACGATGGGATGGGAAAAGGGAGTGACTCGAGGAGCGCCGGGGCTCTGTACTTATACCCCTCTCGGGGATCGACGGTTTGGGCAAAATGACGTCTGCGCAAAATGATTGGCCGATTCTTACAATGCACGACTTCTAATTTGCATATTCGTTCTCTCTCGCATTTATCGATAATTGGGCAGGATTTTTTGGGTCATTCCAAAGGAAGTGACCAGTTGTCCATTGATTTTAAGTACCCACCCCGAGGATTGGTCATTTGGTCATCTGGTCAAGGATCGCGAAATAAAAGTTCTAAGATTCGTGTCTATTAATTTATTAATCAGAATTTGGCCATTTTCATTAATCGTCCATAGCTACTAGGGTGATTTTAAAACGAGTGATCACTGACTTACAGTAGCCACTCCTAAGATTGGTCGTTCGGTCATCTGGTCAAGGATCGCGAAATAAAAATGCCAATATTCATTTCCAATAATTTATTAATCAGAATTCAGCCGTTTTTACAATAAATTAGCATTCTGTTGTAATGAATACAAGAATTGGTTTCCATAATTTATTAATAACGTAGTAATTAACTTGGAGATCATAATGGGTATTCAGAACCCCAGAAGACAGGATACAAGAAATATACACTGGCTCGTCGGTGTACTCGAGTTCGTATCAGCGGGTTTTGCAATACGTCGGTAACGTGGTCTATAAATTGTTAACTTGAATGCCGGTGCCACCTTCGCTTGCGTTTCGAAAGCTCCGCCGTGTTTTGACGTCGGTTGAAAATCAATATCGCGCTTGATAATCCGCCATCTTCATCATGCTCACCCCTTTCGCAATCTGGAAAATAGCAAAATTTTTCTAATAATCGAATTTATAATTCAACATAGATTATCAAGTAGGACATGCAGAAGATTTATAATATATAATATAAATATAATTGCATAAATGCAATATAATATATAATATAAATAAAAATGCAGAAGATTTATAATATATAAAATGAATATAAATAGATCGTCATTTGATAAATCGAAAGAATTTGTTAATTCCGTTTGCTTTGCTAAATTCTTACAGAACGTCTGGGGCAATAGAATAATCAATTATTCTATATGACTGCCCTTATTGTTCATCGCTTAGACTCCGTGCGCGAGTAGTGTAAACGGACGATAATTCTGTCAAGTTCCTCTCGATGCACCTACATATAAGCAATGTTCAAAATAATCGGGTTGTGCAAGAGGAGAGCAGATGGATTCTATTTATAAGGAAGATCGCGACCGTACTTCCTCTGTGCAACGTCGCGTTAAAAAATAGAATAGCGAGAATAAACATTGTAGGACTCAATGCAAGATTTCTTCCTATTTTTGCCAGTATTTTCTTTCTGCATTGCTGCAGAATCGCTTTCAGATCTTTAATCACGCGGTCATACAATTTATTCGGTGAATCGACTATCTCCGTAGGGATTTTCAAAAAAATGTTAACATTAACGCGACTTCAAATTAATTATATAAATAA